TTGAAGAGCAGCACTAAGTTACTGAGAGAAAAGGTCAGTAACGCAGCACCCACCGTTATGCATAAATGTTCTCATAGGACTCAATATAAAAGTATATAGCTTAAAGTCCCGGGTAAGACCTAGATCTGGGATTAATGTAGCCTACTATTTAATTTTGATGTCCCCACAGGTCAAAATTACAATCCGTTTACATTCATACGCCTATCGGTGGTAGGCTTCATCGTATTCATTAGTAGACGATAACTTGATTAAAAATAATCTGATTTTTTTGAAATTTCTTACTTAAATACATCTAGGTTTATTCTAATGATTTTGCGAACCAGCTTAATTAGACTATTGGGATGGGATTAATAGGAGAGTTCACGGGGTAAAAATTTGGTTTTTCTACAGATACCTGACAAAGCAGACTTTGCACTGATTATAGCACGCCATGTAGCTAGGCCTTACTGCCATATTTACTTACCTACTTTTGTTGCACTCATTTTAATTTGCTGCACTCCAGTATTCCAACCAAACAACACAAAACAGTGTGCTTTTATTGTATGTAATACATGTACCCTTGAAAATAAGTTGGCAACATTCACTTAAACATATTACAACACGATCAGCTGGTGCAGTGTTTCTCAGCTTCTGACTAGAGCCTATTGATGCTACGACTTAATTCGTTGTTTTGTGTTAATTCTATTTTCGTTTAATGCTTGGAATAAACCTAACCTAAAACGTGTTTAGTGTTTGAAATAGGCCTACTAATTATTTATAGCCTTAGTAACTGTAGGAAAAATATAATGTGCAACGTGAAAGTATAAAGTGTCACTTCGCCCCTAGTTACACTAATAATTATTTCCCATTTTCCCCTTTTAAATATATATATTAAATTTGCAATTTCCGGACTATTTTGTGGAGCTTTAAAACCAATTAATTTAGTAAAATTGAAGCTTGGTTACTGTAGGCCTATGTTAATGGTTACGGACTGTAGTTCAATTTTTTCCTATATAATTTATCTTAGAATAACTTTTAATTGTTGTATTTTGCTTGTTTAAAGTTTGATATTTGTTTGTTCATATTTCTATCAAATCTGGCAAATTTATTTACTGTGTTCAATAGCCTCAGAGGTACTAAGCTATGAACATTTCACTAAAAATAATTTTAACGTTTCCTGCAGCAAAACCAAATATTCATTAGGTACACCTAATGTTCTGTAGAGAATAAATTTGATAATTTTAAGGAAATGTTTAAATGAAAATAAAATCAGGCTAATGGAAATTGGCTTAGTCGGCAGGTTTTCTGCCGTGTAGGGATCTATATGCAGAGCTCGGTTTGTAAAAAATGAGGTGCCGGAACTGTCACTAATTTAATGTGATTTGTACCTATTTGTGCCAATTTTATTTTCTTTCCAAAAGAAAGTTAGCAGAACTCCGTTCCGCCGTGTTCTTCCGCAAATCGAGCACTGTCTATATGATAATGAGTACCACAGCAAGTTTTTCTAACGCTAGCTGTAACTTTTTCAAAACTGTGATGCCTCAGGCTAGGGACACACGAGCTAGCAAAATTTGCCGGCAGTTGGTTCCGTTGGAGCCGGCGATAGTTAAAGTACACAGGAAGGCCCGGAAGGACACATTGCGCCGGGCCGACGAAACTGCAGTGTCCCTGTCCTAAGTATCTTGTATGGTTTAGAAAAGAGAGAACAATGTTTAATTTGTTATTTGTTTTGTTTAAGAATTATATAGTTATTTAAATGTTTGGTTTCAGAGTACAACTGGATGAAAAGTTTCTTCAGAAATTCCCCTGTGTCAAAACAAAACTGTTAGGAAAGATTCGATTGGGTATAGAAGAAGAAATCAGCTCCGTTTCTAAACTTGAGTAAGTTGCAAATAAAATAAAATAAAACCAATTTATAATACAATGTAATGAATAAATAAAAAAAACTATGTACTTAAAAAAACAAGTTACTACAATCCCAAATCTTTACAATCATTAAAAAAATATAAAAATGTAACTGGCATTAGTAATAAGCGTAATCGTAATAAGCGTTATTTCACACTTTGCCTGATTTATTTTGATAATGTAGGCTACAGAATGCCTGTTTGGCGTTAAAAAATACTTTACCGGTAACATATACAATAAATGACATAATTTAATTTTGCATATATTGGTAAACAAAATAGTTGTTCTCAATTTTAGTTGACTGTACAGTTTGAGATATTTAATAGATTCTTTTTTCAGAACATGTCTTTACCTTTACATTTATACTTAATCTCACCAATAATCTGCCTTTACTATTCTTTTCTTAGCCCACATTATGAAATTAATTTCTACTAAATTTCCTAATTAGAAAAGGCTTGGAACTATTGAAATTTTACTTACACTTTGTCTTCTTTTTGTTTCAGAGAAGAAATGAAGAGTCACGTTGATGGTTTGAAAACCAGACTCACATCAGTGGAGAAAGCCTTTTTAAAGTCTAAGAACGAGGAGTCGTCAGATATCAATCCGTTGATACCATCATTTGATGACCTCTTTGAACATGCGTCAGATATTTGGAAGTGTTTTCACATTCTGTATCCTTTATCATGAGTTTACTTTTGAGCATTATTTACAGTTTAATGTTTTACGTATGTTTTCTAATCAGCAACCTTTGTCAGTAAAACATCCTGGTTATAAAAACGACCAAATCAAGTTTGATAACAAATTAGGCTTTTGTACCTTTGTCTGTAGTACATCATTTTCATCCACTGGCTAGTTTTGTTGCAAAGGTAACATTGTCAACTCGTGCAAACGTAAACGTCAAAATAAATATTTACTTAAAACACAAACACGACTTGGGCAGCTTGTTTGGATTAAAGTTTAGTAAAATATGAACTTATGGATTTTACTCATTTTTATATTGAATAAAATTAAGACATCTACAAAGAATGGTATTTATTTTGTATATATCTTATGTAGTATCCTATAGACTTCAAGTGGAAAGAGTGGAAAAGCCCACAAAAAATCAATATGAATATTTTAATAATATAGATAGCCTAGGTAAGAAATATTATTGTGGTGATGAGTTTTCTTGACACCAAATTTTAGATGGATGGGCCTGAAGACATCAATAGAAACTGTTAATTATTCAAGTAAAAGTTCTGTTAACAAAATATCTGAATCTCTGCAGAAATTTGAAAAGTTTGAACACCATTTCAATTGTGAGTATTGTATTTTCAAGTTTATTTATACAATTTTTATTTTAGTGAACATTTTTAGCTTTTATCACATTTTGATATAGTAATGTAGGTATTAATTAAGTCTATAAAAAGTAGATAACTTAAGGTGAACTGGTGTGAGGCTTAAAAGAATTTCAATGTCTAGTTAGACATATTAAAACTACAAGCAGAAGAAGTGTGATAAAAAATCAGTCGAGCTTCAAAAATGCTTCATTAGAAGAGGTATGCTTTTGTAATTTTAGTTTAAATGCAACAATCGCGTAGTGATAGTCTTTACGGCACGAGTAAAAATTCACTTAAAGTAAAGGTGAATTACGCAAGTAAATTATACTGGGTACTTTAGTTATGACCATTTCACAAGAACTATCCGACATTCTCAAAATCTTACAATACACCTTCCTGCATTTGTTGGTTAGGAAATCGTTTAATTCTTTTTAGGTTAAGGAAAGAATGTATGATTTTCCGGCGGAAATCGGTAGATTAACAATTTAAATGGTCGTTGCCAGCTGATAAGTTGGCATTCAAGGCATTACAATTTTCTCTCAATCCTTGAACCCAATTGGTCTGTTACTTATACCATACTGGTGATGTAATGTTAACATTTTCAGAATGAATTAAATTTAAAAATTCCTATTTTATTCAAAGCTCCAAAACAATCAAGCCTACTTACGACCATTGATTAAACCATTAATGGGTATGCTTTGTTTGTGCTCCAATATAAACATAAAGACAGTGAAAAAATGAAGATCTCCAACGACACAATAGAGATTAATGTACTGTGGTTTGCGTCGTTGTGGGAAGCAGTCTGGTCAGTAATTGACTCACTGTGGTTGCAATAGCATTTTCCGATCGTAGGTCTTGTCATCCTGGACAAGCCACCGACATGGTAACAGACAACCGGGGATCGGAAAACGCTGTAGCAACCACAGTGAGTAAAACATCAGCCAGGCGTCACTGTGCTTCCCCTTGGACTTTGATTCCCAAGATTTTAAGTCATACAGGGAACAGTCATTTTTCAAAAGAATTGTTTAGCACCATTTACATATTACTTCACGGATACAGTGTGACAAACCTTTATATTCTAACTCTTTGATAAAACAAAATTTATATAAATCTTTGTGGGGCAGCCTTTAACCCCCCCCCCCCCCCCAATTCCCTCCGTATGGCCGCTCATGCTTCCCCAGTTGATGTAAAGTGTTAAAAAAAGGGCATTCACATTTCTAGGGTTTCCCTCCGTACGCAAGACACAACTACTTCATATTGTAAGTAATCACATGTTTTTTCTTTACTGCTCATCTAACACCTCTACAATACCTTTGTTGATGCAGATATATAAAATTATCTATTTTTGTTGCAGATATTGCGGATTTGACCCAGTACTTGAGGACATGACATATTTTCATCTTATCAGCCGAGAATATTCTATACACCTTGATATTGTCGGAAAAAAGGTATCATTCTGTAACTGTAGACTTTTCATACTAATAAGACTTTGTATCAATTACGTTGTTATTTTTTTTTTCCTTAGTGAGTTTGAAAATCCAATATTTTCATAAAAAAACCCCTATACATTCTTAATATTAATCCAAACTGCCCTCAAAGCATGATCAGTTAAAACAAACTGTATTTTTTTAGAATTTTTACGATTGAGGGTGGATAATCCGATTATCGGATAATGCAAGGTCGGTTATGAGGGGGTCTACTGTATAGTTGTACAAGTTGGTAAGATCAATGCCCTCTCTTTGGCACAACAAAAAATGTACACAATTAGTTGTTGTGTAATCATAAGAAACCATAACTAAAGGCTAAATATTTATTTGATTTATATTTATAAAATAATAAGATAAGTAATAATGCGTAAAACACAGTCTTTTTTTGGTCCTTTAAGTCACCGTTTTCCTCTTCCAGCTGTGACGTCACTTGATGATCTGAAAAAATAAAATATAAAATAGAGTATTGATTAATGAGTTCGCTAAAATCATACGACTATATTTAGCTAAACACCTTTTTCATGTTGTGAAATATTACAAAATAAATACAACCTGTTTGACTGTTAAGAATAAGAATAGAAAAAGAAGAATAAGAATATGTTTATTGTCTTTCAGGCTACATAAGCATTGACAAAGTCATATATATTCAGCAGAAATGCCAAGTCACTATTCTACGTAGGCCTAAGGGTAATAGGGATAATAGGTAACATCAGTAGTAGAATACTTATTGACTTAAAGATACTTTGTCAGCAAAGCCAGGCGTTCGTGTTTTTTATATAGCCTACTATTAAACTTTTGAAGAACCCCACGATGAGGAATATTTAATGACTTTTGACATTCTTCAGACCTGATGATGTGCTTCATACAAAGCACAAAACTATATAGGATTGCTTTGGACAGTTACAAGGTAACACAAACCCCTATACGTTTTAAAAAGCAAAGCCAGGAAAGTTTGTTTATAAAATTCAAGATAAGTTCTGTTAAAACCTTGTATCATTAATACAATTTGTTGGCAACAAATTAACTATTAAATCACCTATGAAAATAAGTCATAAGTTTCTTACCTTGAGTTTCAATTATTTTATATACAATCAGTTATTCCTATTCAATGGATTTTGTCCAGCCCATGTTCGATATATACCTGTGATAAAACATGTAAAAGTAAATTAAAATCTTCCCACAAGACATTGGAGGCTGTTTATTTTTGCTAAAACATGTGTACCATGTACATTCATGTAATTTATATTTGAATCCTTTCTTTCCTGTTTAGTTGAGGAAATTCAACAAATTTTAAGCTGATTAGAAGGGAATAACTTCAAAAGTATATCTATAAACTGGTTAAAGTTGACCAGGCTGTTCTTAAAGTCCAGTACAGACCGTTTCACCGTACTTGGCGTGTAGGGGAGGCAGTGCGAGAGAGACAGGAAATCTCCCCCACCACGCTTCCCCTCCAGCCGTCAAGTACAGTCGCCTGCTCGCCTCCACTCCAATACAAATACAAACTCTACCAAAACCTTGTCTCCATGACAACCCGAAAAATACAAAAACATAAACATATTTGACAGCTGATGCTAGTTCACAACTTCAGCATTTGAACGTGACTGTACCGTACCGCGAGGCGTAGTGGGGGAAAGCTCTCAGTGCGCATGCTCCAGCGAGACGCCAAGCACCGTGACACTATCTGTAGATGATAAACAATTTAGTATTTCCTTAGTTTTATGATGATTTACTTTACTGAAATAGTGAAATATAGCTATGGGCAGCTTAATGATCATGCAGTAGAGCCAGATAGTCACTGGATCAACCCTGAAAAAGGTCAGTTGTGTCACAAAAGTCAGTTGGTGTGAGGAAAGTATGTAGGTAGCTTTTTGGTAGTTCGAAACCGGACCCAGCTGTCCCTGATCCAGCAACGGTAAGTGCGTTATGGCTTCAAATAAATGATCCTAGCGGTGAAACAGCTGATCTTGGTAATAAAGCCACACAGATCATCACATACTTTTCTACACTCATCCTTCACTCATATTTGGGTTAAAATATGCACTTAGGTGGCGTCCTTATCATCTCAATAAATTGTAATTGACTGATTGGTTCTCAACAAGTGCAAAGCACAGGCATAGCAACTAGTTGACATTTAAAGTATTACCATGAAACGAAGGTGGTTCAGGGTTAGCCGTGTGTTCTAGATCTCTGTAATAAGAGTTGTAGGCCAAGACCAACATGAGAATGCAGGCGACCATCGCACAAACACACACCAACGGGGCCTCACTGATAGCACCGAGCATACTCCTGAGAAAGTAAAACCATTGACTATTGGAAGGTAAAACATTACTGGTATTCTTGATATTGGATACTACAAGCATTGACTATTGGATACTGCAGTGCTTGATTTGTAAAAAAATTGAGGTGCCCGAACTGTACCTAATGTGATTAAATTTATGTACCTTCTTTTTATGCCAATATTTTATCTTCCCGAAAGAGAAGTACCAGAACTCCATTTCGCCGTGTTCCACTGCAAATAAAGCACTGGTTATAGCTATTATTTAGTAAAAAATATTTTGCCATCCAAGAATTTTTTAAAATTTGTTTTACAAGCAACCCATAAAACCACTTGGAAGGAGATAAGACTTTAGTAGGCCTATACAGTTTCCCTAAGATAGAGGTTTTTGAGTTTCTACAAAATGAGCAGTACAAAAACTTCTTTGCTAACTTGTTTTAAATTTTTACCAACTAATTCCAGACCTGAATAATTTGTACCCTTAATAAAAGCTGCTACTTTAGTACTAAAATACTGAATAGGTACCCCTTGATATTTTAAGTGACTCACAACCAATATGTAAACAATCCACAATGTTCTCTACAGCTTACAAAACACAGACTGCCTAAATCAATTATGAACTTATATGTTAGAGATAAGAAATGTGGAGGCCTACATATAACACATGTGACTCATACATACTGTGTACAAAAATCATCGTTAATTTAACGAACAAAAAAATATCTTAAGTGTTATAATAAAAAAAGTACAATACCTGCAACATTGGTGAAAAAAATTTAAAAGTGCAAAAATAAGATGAATTAAATTTATTTGTTGATGTTGTTAATTTATAGTAAAAAGTTTCTAAAAACCTCATTGGATTAGGAAGCTTGAAGAAAAGTGAAACCTTAATAATGTGAATTTTAATCAAGTAAAACTCCTCAAACTAAGTGGTACTTTTATGTTCAACATGTTCAAATGTTCAAGTGTGTTTGTTATTTTCGTTCTCTATTCTACCCAAATAATAAATATAGATTTTTTTTTTAAATTTGCATTATTGACAAAAAAGTAACAAGTAAACTTTATTATGTGGATGTGTATTCTGTTTGTTATCAATTATTGAAATCAAATAGTGATAGTGATCTACTCATAACGCTAACATCAGTAGTGTTTGCTAGTTTACCTTTTGTAGGAAATCTCATATTTTCACGGTATGTATAAACAAAACAAAACCACCATTCTGATCTATTATATAATATTAAAAATATAATATTTTTTAATTTAACATTGCTCAAATATATTTCCTTTTTAAATTTTAATTTTTTGGCGATCATACAATGTCACAAATTATTAAGCTAAACAAGTGCCTATTTTTTGTTGCCAACCATGTTGATGGGTCATACCAGTTGCTATAGATCACAATAAGTCATTCATTAGTTTCATTTGGTGAAAAGTTTTGTATAGTTAACTGGAATTAGTACGGTAATTTAAATAGGAAAAATCTGTTGTTGGCTCACATCAACTACGATGATTTTGGTAAAAAATCTGGTGGCAACCTTAACATGGGGATGGAATGTCTTGTTGCATCATTAGTCAAAGGTTCTATACACACATTTTAATTGTTTACTTATTCTAACAAAGTATAGTACGTAACTTACTCAATAACTCAATAACTCATTTATTAAACCAAGTAGACACAATTACATGTATAGGTTAGGTCAAAATAATATAATATGCATTGGAATTGAACTTAAAATACTACAAAACATACATGTGAAGCATGTGCCCATGCATATTCTGGAGGTGTTAACTACAAGAACAAAAATGCTAGGTCAACAAAGGTATTTTATAAATCTTAAATTTTTTTAGAGATAAAAAAAATTTATATTGTTCCAGATGGATATTATGCTGATAAAGGCAACTCCCATGTTTTCTATATTGGTATCTTTCATCTGTATTCTCTCCACGTTGTTTGCTTACAACAAATATTTTGAGCATAAAGAGTATGGACCTCATCCTCTTGGTTAGTATTTGAATCTTTTTCTGCCAAACTCAATGTATTGATTGGTTATTTAACCAATAATTAACAAACATGGGGGTAGGGTTAATTAATACTTATACAGTACTTCATTAAAATAAACGGTATTAGCGAATTGGCACATACTTCATCCAATATGCTTGACATTAAAATTGAACATCCAAGTACTTTTATGAGTAAAAAGTTCAAAATATTTTATTGGGTCACTGGAAGGGGTAACTATGGGTTTTTATAGGGAAAATCACTAAAATCTCACTAGCTTTTGAAATGTAACTTTAACGGGATTGGTCGACTTGATGCTTCAGTCTCATTGGTGGCGTCATTGCGACCAGTGCGATTAGTGTTCCATTGTTGAAGAACTCAAACTGGTTACAACTTTGGGGGTTGTGCCATTTTGTTTAAGTTCATAAGGACCATAACTTGCTAAATTTTACAAAATCGTCCCAGTAGTTTTTGTGAAAATCAGATTTTTCCTTTTTTTGGGTTTTGAGAATCACAATTAACAACTCCTAAGGATGCCATGAATTAAGTATGTACAAACCAAGTTTCATCAAAATCGCACTAAAGGTGTAGTTTGTATCTCTGTTACTGGGGGAGAAAGCTGGTCTAGCGCAGGACATCGGTCTCTGAGGTCCCGGGTTCAAATCCTGCTAAACCACCAGTGGATTTTAACTGTTATTATGCCACAACCCCTAGGTTTAGCCTGAAGTAATGTGAAAAACAATCCCGGGCTCTTGCCTAGTGTCCTAGGACTAAAAAATTTATCTGTTCACACTATATGTATGGGCAGAAAGAAAAACTATCCAGGAAGTTTCTTTGGTTTCCCCTCCATTACCGCTGTTTAATTAAGATAAAAGATTGTGAGGTATAAAAATAGAGTCGGGTATGATGTTTACGTCAAGACAATACTTAAATGCTCAAGATCCTAGGCATTTACTGAGATATAATTGAGAGTATGTACATTGTTATGTTTATCTACAGCTGTGGTATTTTCACCTTTCTTGAAAGAAAATGTTTAGGCCTTTGGATTAGTAGAGACTTATTCTAATTTGTGAATAGTTCATTTTGAAAAATGCATAAACTATAAGTTCCTACTCACTCAAATAAGTGAAAAACTCTATTCTCGAAAATCGAAAAAAGTTTCAAACCTTTTTCGATTAGGTTATACACTTATTGGGAGTAGATTTTAATAATAAATATGCCTCATTTTAGTTGATTTAAGGAGCCATTATCTTGTCTGGAGTTGGCAAATGGGCTTTTAGCAAGTTATATTCCATCTAAAACGTTGTTCAGCAGACATTGATTAAACCGAATTGTGTCGTCTGTTGCAGATGGGTCTGTCAACATCACTTCAACTCAAACTACCGTCCAGACCTTACTCAACGCTACTAATTGACTATATTTAAGCTGTTATTGTTTTATAACATATTAAAAAGTAATTTTGAGAATTTGTGTTTTATTTTACATGAATAAGGTATCATAACCGCTAAATTTATCAGAATGTAAAAAGTTTGTGAAGTGTAAGTTGATTTGACTTAAAATAAGTAGTTGTGGTATCCAAAGTCAATGATAGAGTTAGTATATTAGTTGCCTCTTCTTGGGTCAGTGGTTTTTCTTGGACCTTGTCAAGCATGTTTCGAGGAAAGGAGAATCCTCCACTCCTACTTGTCCTCTCCTGAAAAGTTTGGTATTTTTAAAGCAGTATTGTGAATTTCAGAGCCATTTTTATGGCAAGGGAATATTGACTGAGCATTAGTCCATTACAGAGATGCATTACCACATCACATCGGAGATTAGACTGGCCAATAAAGGAAAATGCAAACATTTCTGAAAGTTTGGCGGGTGATCCTCTGCTATCTGCTATGAATGCTGCTCAGATTCAACGTGTGTATCGTCCTTCCTAGTGTTGATGTTCCGTGTGGTAAATACTGCAATACATTGTAGGGGTCTAAAAGAAGACTCCAGTCCTGCCCCTCCCAAATTGAGGTGTAGCTCAAAAATGTCCATCACGCTCTATCACTGTGCAAATTTGAGAGAAAATTGAAGTCCAGTCGTCAGCGAGCCATTTCCTACCATGAGATGGCTGAGTTTTAGTCTGAGGAATCGACTAAGACTTTTAAAATGACAAAACTGCATGGTGGAATAAACCTTTGCTTCTGCTAACTCAACAGCAATCACAACATTGTAGATAGGAAGGTTTTATGATTCAGTTTGTGACTTGTCCAACAAATAAACTGAATCATTGATAAATCAGTAATTTTTTTCACATTAGATTAATTTTTGGTTAAAGATGTCAGTAAGTACCATTATTTTTTTTAATAGTAAATATATATTTCTTTAAATACCAAGTTTGTATATGACTATAATTCATCATAATCAAGTATATCCATCATCCTGACCTGTCCAATTCCAAGGACTACATGTACACATCATGTATCCCAATGTTAGTGCTTATACTAATTTTGTGGAAGTTGAAATTTGGTGATTTTTGATGGCTGATATTATTAACCTTTGTACTTCAAGGGATTTAGTCAAATCAATTAATATCAACAACATATCCCATAACATAGCCCAATTAGTCAGGATGCAAATATACCATGTTTGATACTTTGATGTTATTTATTAACTAGGGATGGACGGGTCTTGATTTTTCAAAAAAATGCGAGGTTAAAAAATATATTTGAGCGAAATTGACTTTGCTCACCGACTTTTTCGAGACAAAATTATAAAAAAAATTATAACGCCTTCGCAAAGCAAACGCAACAACAACGCGCTCCTGTATTGCGAGATTTTGGATACATAATATAAATAGAAAACGACTAGGTTTTGGTGAATTTCACACATTATTCCCCGATCTTGTAGAGGATGATAAAATAATAAAATCATAACCTCGAAACAACATGGTTTTTTGAAAGGAAGGTCCACTCTGACTGCTATGTTTGACCTAATAAACAGAGTTGTAAGAGGGCTTGATTCAAGAAACTATTCAGCAGGAATATTTTTTGACCTGAGAAAGGCTTTTGATACAGTCAATCATAACATACTACTGCAAAGAATGGGTAAAGTAGGAATAAGAGGAGTAGCCTTAAGTTGGATTGCTTCCTACCTGTGTGGCAGAACACAGTACGTAGAGATCCAGGCAGTAGACGAGACTGGGTTCATTCGTCCCTACTCCTCTGTTAAGACCACCATTCTGAGAGGAGTGCCCCAGGGCTCTGTTTTAGGACCTACCCTTTTCCTCCTCTTTATCAACACCCTCCCATCATGCACTTCGACCGCCACACCCACACTATTTGCTGATGATACCTCACTCTCCATTTCAGATCGCGATATCAAGAGCTTAGAGCTTACGACCTTTTGTGAAGCCAGTAATTTAATTGAGTGGTTTGATAACAATTTTCTTTCCGTTAACACCGAAAAAACACAGCTTGTGCACTTTTCTATTACAAAAAGATGCTCTAATGGTTTCAGTCTTCTGTTAGATGACACACCAGTTCACCCAACTGACAAAGTTAAGTTTCTGGGACTGACCCTGGATGAAAATCTAAATTTCCAACATCATATCAAACAGGTCACAGATAAATTGAGTTCTGGAAT